GATAAAAAAGCATTTTCTGTTGCCAACACTTAAAATCTGACCCATTAAATTTCTCTGATTTTTCTCCGGTCGTATTCGGGAGTGTAGTACCAGAAGTTGCCATTTCTGAAACACAATTAGAAGAATGATCCAGAAAAGGCAAATTCATTTTAAGATTGTTAATCCTGGAGTATAAGTTTCCCCTTTAAACAATCCGAAAGAATTACCGTAACAGTACTATAGAAATTTAAATTCGACCCCACCGATTTCACGATATTTCCTTAAAACGAATCCACTGCCTTCAACGATACTAAAAGCGTCCAGCAATCGTTTCACAGGATAGAACGAATTTCGTTTTCTACGGAAGCAGGACAGCAAACTGCAGGAGTTCGAACGAACGTAATGAAGTGTTTTTACTTCGAAAACAATATTAGAACAAGAGGGAGAATGAGATTCAAAGCAAAGAAAATTTGCAATGAAAATAGTGTAATTTTTCTAGCAGGGGGGTAGGCTATTAATATAGTGCAAGGACGCACAAGCACCAGACTCGGGCACGGGCTCGTGCCATGCCAAGCCGAGTCGGCAAGCCGATCGGACGGACGGCGGCGTGCTCGTGTGGGCTTATAACCGAAGCCGATAGGATATAGGTCTTCCCCCCTTCCAAAGACTATTGGTACCCTTTGGGACCCAAACCCAATTCCCAAACTTGCACCATATAAACCACACCAAAGTTTCATAACTTTCCTATTTGGGAAAAGTGTTTGAGCAAATCAAATTCTTCACTAATTCATAGTTTCAAGTGGGTTACTTTCATATTAAATATTTCATTCAATTCTAAATGATTTTCGATAAATAAATATACCACGTTCATCACCTTGTGGAGCAGAACATGAATATGCTAGGTCCCGAATTAATTAAGATGTGGGTCCCACTCAAATTTGGATCCAAAGTTGACCAATTTCATACCATTTTCTAACATTATTGACTCGACTCTTGCAACCATTGCAATTGTAGGCGGCCCATGGAAATAGACTAGGAGCCACCATCAAATAAGTGAAGCTCTATGCAATTAGATCCAAATGACTTATTTAGCCCTTGTTTGAGCTCATTCTTTGGAAAAAAAAAAATTACTCTTAAATAGTATTTTGACATCATTTCAACCCCACATTCTTCAATAAAATAATATTACACGTAAATCCAAAATTTTTCTTTCTTTTTTAATCACGTATTTTTTATCAATACACTATTCAAAAATACATTTTTCCTCCAAAATGAGGCTCAAACAAGGGTTTAATCTTTACCACGATTTTCACTGAATATTACAACAACCGTAGGACACGTCCCATGTATGCTTAACAACTACCTTATTGCCGTATCATCATATGTTGAAACCGATATAAAGGAGCAAGTCATGTTCAAAGTAAATAAAGATTCTATAGTTATTTCTACTTGACTCATTTGGTGATCACATTTTCATCTTCTTAAGAGCTATTTACTCCTCCTTATAGCGGAGTGGAGGCTGTGGAGCCTTGTCGAGGCGTCCACCCTTTCTCCTTGGACATCGCGGATCGATCAAGTGCAATTATCAGAGCAGACGAAATCGACCAGCATTATTAGGTATAAAATGAGTCAGTGATGTGAATAATTAATTGTAAAAGTATTAAAATTTATAATATCCAAAACCACGTGGTCTATGTTGAACGAGTCCATTTTGAGATTTTTTTTGTCATGGTAGCACATAGTTTAACGTTGGTCGTAACGTGTATTTGTGCATTGTATGATTTCTTGTCTTGCATCCCATATGGGCCTATGGCCTTGCGCCCCATATTTTTTTTTTTTTTTTAACGAGGTGTCCCAACTCTTGCGCCCCATATTTCATGCATTTCATGCTGTCAATTACATAAAAGTATAAACATATTTAGTTCAATTATACACAGGACAAATTTTCGCATCAAGATATTTACTTATTTAGTTCAATTTTATGGACAATAAATTTTCATAGCACAGCACGTAGCAGACAGAATACACTCTTCTTTCTTTATCTGGTCCAATCTTATTAAGTGTCTGTTTGAGCCACATTATTCTAAAGAAATGCATTCTTTAATAGTGATTTGACATCATTTCAACCACATATTCTTCAATAAAATAATATTACACGCAAATAAAAAACTTTTCCTTATTTTTTAACCACACATTTCCCATCAATACAATATTGAAGAATACATTATTACCAAAATAATATGGCTCAAACACCCTCTAAATTACAAAAATATTTAGTTGTGCTTATGAAAATAAGTCAATTTTAATTCACTTTCTTGAAAAGTAATTTTTCATGCCGAACATATGCCCTTATTATTTGGATTTTGGAGTTTAAATATCTGGATTTTCTTCAATGTCTAATCTAATATTAAAAGCATGGATCTGAAAAGCAAATTCAAAATATAAAATGAATTAGATAAGTAGCAGTATGAAAACAGTACATATCATGCGAATCAAATTCAAAATGGATAAAGTCACTGATTCAAATAAATTTTCTACCGTTTTCTGTCCTCATCAAAGGTCAAATATGTAAACATTTCTTCAGTAATCAAGAATTTCAATTTTTGGGAACATATGACATAATTATTATTAGGATAATGATACTTGCACGTCAAGTGATATTTACCCCTCACATGGAGGGGGATCTACTTCAGATATCCTCATGTATGAGGAGGGTGGACATCAGGATAGACACTCCGATGTACATGTAGCACAATTCTATATAGTTTAAAGATTTTAATGTCACAATTCTCACGTTAATCCCTTATTCACTAGAAAAAGGGAAAATGATGAGCAATTGTGAAAAGGCAATGGCAGTTGGTATGGTCCCAAAGTTATAATTAACCCCAAAAATAATGTAGGCAAGGCTGATCACAAAATAATGATATGATGGACCGTCCACAATGGTTAAGTCATTGTATGCTGGCAAGATGTAGTAATTATTCGTACCACCCATTTAGGATTCAAGAGGACCCCTTTTACAAAGTAAGCATGCTAAAAGAAAACCGACATACCCTAATTATGATAATAATGCATCTCTCTTTCTCCCTCCTTTCATCCACAATCACACAAACAAACAAAGAGAGATATCGAAGATAGAAAGGCATAGAAGAGGTAAGATCGACTATTGACTAACGCAATTGGAATCAACGTCCCTCTAGAGAGTCCATAATTTGCAATCCATGGAGGCCGCTATCAATAGTTTGATGCATTATCTCTTTTCAACCATTTGTGCTAAAATGCAGCACAAGAAAAGGAAGGAAAATCGTTTATTCTTTTTGTATTAGTTTAATTTAAATGAAGTCGTTATATAAGTCGTTGGCATACGAAATCAAGCACTTGTTATAAAATAAACAAATTCAAAAAAGAGAGAGGGAGAGTCTGGGAGACGACTTGTCCGTTGACCGGATTTTAAAGCTTAAATTGCGGGAAAAGGGGCATAATCACGGAGGTGGGGTATCAACTATCAACCTGCAATATAAGATATGAAGTAAATGGGTCCAATTTGCTGTATCAACAAAGATTACACATCAAAGGAAATGCACATGGATATAGCTGTATACAGATCGCAGACCACATCCAAAACTATGGAAATACTATTTAATAATGGCTAAACAACAAATTCTACTCAAAGTACATACACCATTGCTTAGCTAACAGTTATGTCAAACTATTATGGTCAATTCATAGCCAGAAAAAGGCCTAATTACGCGTCGACCAGGAACTGCCTAACATGGAGTTTATAGGTAAATTGCGGACAAGAGGCACCGAAGCAGGTTTGTCATATCATGGAGAAAACATCCTCGTGATGGGAGCTGCTGCCATGTACTGCTTTTCTTAAAATCATGAACAACTTTTCTTACGCTAGTCAATTTTGATCGCTAATTCTCAACATATATTCTCGTGTAGCTATGTCATTGATTTTTTAGTATGATGTCACATTAATGTTACATTCTCATTTAGGTAACGTTCACTAATACTTTGAACTATAAAACGTAGTAAATAAGATCATTATTAGGTAAAACTGATTTTTAACTTTGCAGGCCAATTCAAAATCATTCATATCGAATTAGTCCAGATTATTAAGCCCCGGCCTGAAAAAAGAAAGCCTATTTCTTCACACTGTTATCTATTATTGAAGGTTGCATCCACTTGTCCCAACGCATTAAGCCCCGATTTGATACGGATTAAAATCTAGATTTTAATTTAAGGCAAAGTTAACAATTCAGTTGCTTTCCAAATCAAGTGAAGGTTTAATCTGTGTGCTTATAATTATCTGAGCACTCTCCCTTTAGAAGGAATGAGTTCTACCTCAATACAAATATTAGTAATAAAGATATGAAGTAGAAGAATAGGAGCACTCTTTCGGGAGGCTTATGTTAACGTATTTTGAATATAGGTAGATCGACATTAAAAATAAGCCACACGTTTGTTGCTTATTTTTAAGATAAGCCACCTCAAACATTCTCCAAGAAAAGAAACCTGTGGATTTCATTTTTGTTAAAAATAGTAGATTGCGATGATCTTAATTGTTTATCCTACGTCGCTAAGTAAAGATTTGAGTCATGGATTTATAACACAGAGGACCAAGCTTCCAATGGAGTACAAAGTCAATTTCTCTTCCAATGAAGTGGTCTCCATTTTACGCGGTAAAATTTGCTACACAGTTTGGATACCATAAACCATACACAATTAGGATGTGGGGTAGGGGACAAAAGGCACTGAATTGCATCAACATCCCATGCTGATGTTACCTAAAAAAACATCATCCTACTGGCTGAAAACGAATAACCAAAATCCTACCACATCCGAACCCCACTATAAAAAAAATGATGTAATAAAATAAAATTAACGAACTTTTAATCTCTCTGCAATTAAGGCTTTTTATTTTATTTTTATTTTTTGGTATACTTAATGATAGGCAGGTGAAGTATTTCCTTGTATGAAACAATAGTGGAATAAAATAATAAAGAACCCCAAGAAAAAAAAAATGATTGAAGCAATTAAAAATAACTAGAATCTCATGACAAGATATGAATTTTAATGGGGACACTGCACTTTGCAATCCACCTAAGGAGCAGGACTATTAAAACATTGAAAAGCATAACCCAAACTCCATTTCTAGATTACAAATGAGGTCTACCGATCCTCAAGAATAGCAGACATGATTCGCCAAAGACCAAGTAGTAAACTGAGAGAGCAGTGAGTAACTTGAATAACTGCAATGCTGTCTCTTCCACAACCATAATCTATACGCCATTAATCACTGTTTCAACATGCAGTGAATTTCCATTTTCCATGGTCTTGCCATTGCTCTGAGTCTTTGGCCTCTGAAACGCATGCAATTATATTATTAGAAAACACCACGCCATAGGCTAATAAAGCTAAATGAGTAAAATACAAAGAAATCGGTGAATGTTAGTACCCTTTCAGCCGAATCTCCAGAATTTCCATTCAAAAGTTTGTGATTCTCTTCCTTCATCCAGCCATCCTTGGTAAACGGGAGTAATGGACCCAAATTTGAACGATCAGGCAATTCTACAAGAAATAGAAACATTGTCAGTGTCCAACAACAGCAAATAACGGCTATCCAAAGAATAAGTAAACACTAACCTGGCAATGTTTTCTCGATAAAGAACACAACTAAGTTAACAGTATACCTGAAACATAGTCATATGTTGGAAATATATTAGACCAATTTTAAAAACCCACCCAACAAGACAACTCGGCAAATTAGAAGAGGAAACCACAACCAACATGCACGATGTTCAATCTGTAAAAATATTGTTGGTTTCACGTTATTGCCATAAAATAGATTACCCCATATTCGAGCTGTGCCATCTTCTGAACCAGTTATCATCTGAAAGCAACCAAAAATAGTTGAAAAGAAGAATGAACCACAAACATATAAATCATGAAGATGGCTGAAATTTATACCAGTGAAAGGGTTGGATTTCATAGTACTTGAAGAATTAGTTCAAGAGTCTGTAAGTACTTCTAAATTCTTAGCAATTTCAGTAACTAATCAACTTATATCCATGCATGATATCATTACCCACGAGAATGGGGAGGCAGAGTGCGCATGATTTTGAAAAAAAAAAAAAAAAAAAAAAAAAAAAAAAAAAAAATGTTTTATCAAGGCAAAAGTTTTTAGAACCTCCAATTTATTCTTTATGATTTAGAGAAAAAGTTTAAATGGCAGATAGATTTATAGCACAGCTCCATCATAGAATTTCAAATTACTTAAATAACTTCATAGGTAAAAATCCACTGAGAAATCTTTGACAATTTTTTAGTTTTCTATATAGAGCCCCAAAAACTTCAATAGAATTTTCTTGTTTTTACAGTCTTAACACAATCTGTATTTCGATTTGAATATATCAGTTTGAGTTAGATGGAAATCATAGGGAAAAAAACTGACTTCTGATATTCTTCCTCTTCCACCCATAGACATCCCCGCACTTGGATATGTGGTTTGAGTTGTGGTGAGAGAGGAGAGTAGACAGAGTGAGGTATTAGGGAGTTGTTTCTATATAGAGCCCCAAAAACTTCAATAGAATTTTCTTGTTTTTACAGTCTTAACACAATCTGTATTTCGATTTGAATATATCAGTTTGAGTTAGATGGAAATCATAGGGAAAAAAACTGACTTCTGATATTCTTCCTCTTCCACCCATAGACATCCCCGCACTTGGATATGTGGTTTGAGTTGTGGTGAGAGAGGAGAGTAGACAGAGTGAGGTATTAGGGAGTTAAGTATAAATATATCAATTTATATACCCATTATTTTGAGGCATCCTAAAAACAAAATGATGCCATTAAATTGAAACAAAAGAAGTATTAGCTTTACATCCCAACATTAACCCTGCCAGTAGACAAAACTGTATAAAATAGGATATCATCCAACTAATTACCTCCGTGTGCCATATTTGTGATACGTCCGCACAAAGACTAGAGAGAAAATCATGTGAGATGAAAATATTAAATCTCCACAACCATAAAGCACGCCATGAACTGCAAATTCATAAAAGTACAAATGAGCAACAAAAATGAAAAATATGATTAGAAAGCAAGGGAAATAATCAATGCAACCCTGTCTTACATTTAATTAAGAAGAATTCTACAGCATTGTCAGGAAGAGGCAGCCTGGCAAGCTTTGAGCCCTATAGTGCAAACAAAATTCCAGATTTAAATTTTACAGCTTACGAGAAAAATTAAAGAGAAAAATTAGAGCAAATAATTGCATCTCACGTCTGGGATAAATTCAAAAACAAAATGCAAGATCACAACAGATTTTGATTATTTTTACCTCACGACAATGATAGTTAGGACCAGGAAGTTGAGTAGAATAGAAAGTTATGATCCGAAGAAATTGACAAGCCTGCAGTGAAGTACAAAGAGGAAACCATTATGGCAAGATTAAATCACTTCCATTGTTTCCAACAAAAGAGTAATCAATAATTGTAATGATTCCACAAACATTCATCTTGGAAGCAAAGAGGGATTTTCTATTCTTTCACTTACAAATAAACACGCCAGAACCCTGCACCATATTAGGACGGTGTAAATTTTTTTGCTCTTGAAGATGAAGGGATGGAAAGTCCACTGCAGCAGATCATCAACCAAAATCAATATACGAAGGAAAACTTAAAAAAACAACAGGAGGGAGTAAATGTTAAAACCAGTAAATGGGAAAACTTACCAAGACAAACGATAGAAAGACGAATGTAAATACTGTTTCACTGATGTAAGCTTTGTCTAGTCCAAGCTCCTATAATAGTTCCAGAAGTTTGAGATGAGTAAAGCCAGACAGCGAGTAGGCATCTCATTAGTAGTAATATCCATGAAAATACATAAAACATATATTTCTCACCGGAAGAAGAAAGAAGCCAACATCCTGAAGTATTGGTCCTGGCCGATGAAAATAATGAATTCCTCGAGCAGCTAGTCCGTGTATGTACTGAAGAAAGAAGATAAAGACAGATTTCTCATCTTATGCATTTCAAACCAACTATAACAGGGAAAAGCACAGAAAAATAAGCAAAATTAAGTTCCTGGAACAGTTGTAAATTAAACTAAATGGAATGGAGAATAAATCTTTCCTTTATTATTTGTAGCCAGATAACACCAGATCAGCTCTAAAGCCCCATTACTTTGCTTAATGATGTTGCAATAAAAGCACAATTATGAATTATTCAAAGACTAATTTGTGAAGCACGTCATGTTCACGTCACTCAAATCAGAAAGTAGTTAATTGAAGTCGAATTTAATGACGAGAACAATCTGGAAATAGCTACAGCTTACCCACTAAGCAACCTAACAAAGGCTTTTCGAATTGCAGAAAACACATCAAAAGACAATCTTAAACTACTGGAAAGATCTTAAGGTCTTCCACCAAATTATAATCATCATAAAATTCATAAGACGATATTTCATCATATCGGAAATGGGTAAAGATCAATATATATGTGTTTACACAAACCTGACAAATGAGACCCCCTAGAATATACTTCCAATTTTCTGCGAGAAGGTTGATTTCGGTTGTAATTTCCGCACAAAATCTCTTCCATAACTACTCACAAATAACACAACAAAAAATCGATAAAACACCGCCAAAAGTAGCATTAATCAAACTAACAAATGAATTAAAATAAACATAGTAAAAAATCGCAGAGAGAAAGTGCAGATGAAAAACGAACCTTTGAAGCCTCGCGACCGATGTAAAGCGACATTTCTTCTATGTATATTGCAGACAAGAATAGTGCCATATTACGTTACAACATCCTGGATTCTCAGTACAGAAGAACTCTATTTTTCTCAAATTTCACTCGTTAATTAACCAGGATCAAACTAAATAACTCCGTTCAATTAACTATCCCAAGATCCGTCAAAGTAAAACCTAGTTGCTTAGTCGAGGTTCTTCCAATAAAAAAACAGAATCGATTTCACAATAATCCTTTAAAAAAATCGAAGTTATATTGTAAATCAATCTGAACAAGAAGCTTTTAAAAGGGCAATTTCTCTCTTGAAACTGGGGCTGCTGCTTATTGGTATCTTTATTGGTTTCTCTCCCTCTCGCGCTAAATATATATCAGTGTTGTTTGATTTGTCTCCTTTGTACGATAACACGCGAGTTGAACACGGAGAAACAGTTGAGACTGAGCCGGCTATTTCAAGGAAATTGTATTTTGACAATAATCCTTTAAAAAAATCGAAGTTATATTGTAAATCAATCTGAACAAGAAGCTTTTAAAAGGGCAATTTCTCTCTTGAAATCTTTTTATTGGTTTCTCTCCCTCTCGCGCTAAATATATATCAGTGTTGTTTGATTTGTCTCCTTTGTACGATAACACGCGAGTTGAACACGGAGAAACAGTTGAGACTGAGCCGGCTATTTCAAGGAAATTGTATTTTTACCTTTTCGCAAAAGGAATGGAAAATCTTTTTAAAAAATAATAACAATGAAAAATCCGAAAATGAGCTGGAATAATCTTTTTCTTTTCTTTTCTTTTTTAAGTAAGGCAACTGGAATAATCTTTTAAATATTCATGTAAAATTAATTTTCAGATAAAAAAATGAATTTGATTTCTGTCCAAAATAATATCTTCTTCTAAATCAAATTTCAAATATCTTTGATTCAACATCCGTTTTGAAATTTATAATACCTCTACAAGTTGTAAATTGCCCTTTTTCTTTTCAATTACCGTATTATCTTGTCAAAATTTTGATCATTAATTAATAAAGAAAAAATTGTCCGCGAGAAATAGTTGACTTCAAGTTTTCATGTGCACCTACCTCATGTTATGTGGACTGCGTCCAAATTTATTTTCTTGTAATATCTCAAATTGGTTGTTAATAATTTCAATGAAGGAAATTACCCTATCGACTCAAATTAGAGAAACAAAATCCAACTTCGTAGAGTAGGTATAAGAGGGTTTTTAAGAGCATGTTTGGTACAGCTTAAAACACAATTAAAATCAATTTTTTGACCGTTATTTCACTATTTCAGATGTCATTTTCGAATTCTTCTCTTACATGTAGCACTCACTTTATCTCTAACGGTCAAAAAATTAATTAACAAAATCCCTACCAAACAAACACTAAATATTTGGACGGTGTAAATTTTTTTGCTCTTGAAGATGAAGGGATGGAAAGTCCACTGCAGCAGATCATCAACCAAAATCAATATACGAAGGAAAACTTAAAAAAACAACAGGAGGGAGTAAATGTTAAAACCAGTAAATGGGAAAACTTACCAAGACAAACGATAGAAAGACGAATGTAAATACTGTTTCACTGATGTAAGCTTTGTCTAGTCCAAGCTCCTATAATAGTTCCAGAAGTTTGAGATGAGTAAAGCCAGACAGCGAGTAGGCATCTCATTAGTAGTAATATCCATGAAAATACATAAAACATATATTTCTCACCGGAAGAAGAAAGAAGCCAACATCCTGAAGTATTGGTCCTGGCCGATGAAAATAATGAATTCCTCGAGCAGCTAGTCCGTGTATGTACTGAAGAAAGAAGATAAAGACAGATTTCTCATCTTATGCATTTCAAACCAACTATAACAGGGAAAAGCACAGAAAAATAAGCAAAATTAAGTTCCTGGAACAGTTGTAAATTAAACTAAATGGAATGGAGAATAAATCTTTCCTTTATTATTTGTAGCCAGATAACACCAGATCAGCTCTAAAGCCCCATTACTTTGCTTAATGATGTTGCAATAAAAGCACAATTATGAATTATTCAAAGACTAATTTGTGAAGCACGTCATGTTCACGTCACTCAAATCAGAAAGTAGTTAATTGAAGTCGAATTTAATGACGAGAACAATCTGGAAATAGCTACAGCTTACCCACTAAGCAACCTAACAAAGGCTTTTCGAATTGCAGAAAACACATCAAAAGACAATCTTAAACTACTGGAAAGATCTTAAGGTCTTCCACCAAATTATAATCATCATAAAATTCATAAGACGATATTTCATCATATCGGAAATGGGTAAAGATCAATATATATGTGTTTACACAAACCTGACAAATGAGACCCCCTAGAATATACTTCCAATTTTCTGCGAGAAGGTTGATTTCGGTTGTAATTTCCGCACAAAATCTCTTCCATAACTACTCACAAATAACACAACAAAAAATCGATAAAACACCGCCAAAAGTAGCATTAATCAAACTAACAAATGAATTAAAATAAACATAGTAAAAAATCGCAGAGAGAAAGTGCAGATGAAAAACGAACCTTTGAAGCCTCGCGACCGATGTAAAGCGACATTTCTTCTATGTATATTGCAGACAAGAATAGTGCCATATTACGTTACAACATCCTGGATTCTCAGTACAGAAGAACTCTATTTTTCTCAAATTTCACTCGTTAATTAACCAGGATCAAACTAAATAACTCCGTTCAATTAACTATCCCAAGATCCGTCAAAGTAAAACCTAGTTGCTTAGTCGAGGTTCTTCCAATAAAAAAACAGAATCGATTTCACAATAATCCTTTAAAAAAATCGAAGTTATATTGTAAATCAATCTGAACAAGAAGCTTTTAAAAGGGCAATTTCTCTCTTGAAATCTTTTTATTGGTTTCTCTCCCTCTCGCGCTAAATATATATCAGTGTTGTTTGATTTGTCTCCTTTGTACGATAACACGCGAGTTGAACACGGAGAAACAGTTGAGACTGAGCCGGCTATTTCAAGGAAATTGTATTTTTACCTTTTCGCAAAAGGAATGGAAAATCTTTTTAAAAAATAATAACAATGAAAAATCCGAAAATGAGCTGGAATAATCTTTTTCTTTTCTTTTCTTTTTTAAGTAAGGCAACTGGAATAATCTTTTAAATATTCATGTAAAATTAATTTTCAGATAAAAAAATGAATTTGATTTCTGTCCAAAATAATATCTTCTTCTAAATCAAATTTCAAATATCTTTGATTCAACATCCGTTTTGAAATTTAAAATACCTCTACAAGTTGTAAATTGCCCTTTTTCTTTTCAATTACCGTATTATCTTGTCAAAATTTTGATCATTAATTAATAAAGAAAAAATTGTCCGCGAGAAATAGTTGACTTCAAGTTTTCATGTGCACCTACCTCATGTTATGTGGACTGCGTCCAAATTTATTTTCTTGTAATATCTCAAATTGGTTGTTAATAATTTCAATGAAGGAAATTACCCTATCGACTCAAATTAGAGAAACAAAATCCAACTTCGTAGAGTAGGTATAAGAGGGTTTTTAAGAGCATGTTTGGTACAGCTTAAAACACAATTAAAATCAATTTTTTGACCGTTATTTCACTATTTCAGATGTCATTTTCGAATTCTTCTCTTACATGTAGCACCCACTTTATCTCTAACGGTCAAAAAATTAATTAACAAAATCCCTACCAAACAAACACTAAATATTGAACTGAGAACCAACTTCAGGTTTTTTAAAAGGTTAGAAATCAAATTGTTAATTGAACAATAGGTCAGGGACCAACATTGCAATTTTCCATTTAATTTTGTCTGGAAATTAGTAGAGCACTTTGGTGGGATCGAAAGTCACGAGGGTGATGTCTCGAAATTCGAGAAGTTGTATTTTAAGCGGAAGTTGTAAAACGTTCGTTGCGGTATTTTTTTTGAAATTTGAAAATTTGGAACCTTTGAATCTATCCACAGCAACAAACAATTTCATAATCTTCATCCAGATGATGGGTCCACGTGGAATTATCAACTTCGAGAACCGTTTTAACGTTAATAAATTTACTTTGGCCCATGTGCTTCTTTCGAACCTATTCATTTTTCGCATGTCTGTCCTCTTTTTATTTATTTATTTTTTTTCTTTGTATGGGTAACTCGTTTATAATGTTATAATGCTTTCATGTTAAGTTGGCTAATATTTTGTAGAGACGTGTTAAAGGTCAAAAATTTATGAGAAGTTAAAAATAAAGACAGTGAAAAGTCATGTCAGTACCGATTAAAATTTACATTTTAATTTAAATCAAAGTCAGAATTTATTTCAACCACATATTTTATGGATCCCATAACTTTTTAATTATACATTTTATCAAATTCTATCAAAATTGACTTTATTCTCCACCAAACAGGGCTAAATGTTTAAAAATTTGGATAAATATATATATATATACAAACAAATGTGTACAAAATTGGTTACTTACTCTCACAAACAAGCGGTCCTACGTGAATTTAAAAAAATGTCTGCTCGTTATACCCAGTTTTTATTGTGAGTAGTGAGTAAAAGATTTTGTAAAAAAGTTTGTAAGTGTAACATGATTCGAAAGATTTAAGTTTCTTAAATAAAAATTGTTGTAAATTGTAATTGATGAAAATTATTTCGCATGCTCATAATTTGGTTGGAGGGAAAAAATATGTATACCCCAGCAAGTGAACAAACTAAAGCTTTTGCACCCATAGTAATTTCTTACGAATTTAATGATGATATTGAGGACACGTAAGCGCGGGATTAGGTTTCAAATGGAAGTTGAATGATAATAGACGAAGTTTTTGAAAGTCAAACGAGGCAGGGCGGCGGTCAATTGCCCGGAGGCGTAAAACTATCAGCCAATTGACCATACATTATTGGAATTAGAGAAATTCTTCTGAAGTTTCCATTGAAGAGCTTCTAGATGCGTAGCGAAATACATAATTTGACGAAAATTATAAATAATCTACATTATTTTCCAAATATACTCTTAGCCCCTGTTTGATTCCCATTTGAGGGATAAAATAAATTATATAATAGTAATTTTTTTAGAGAATGTGTGGTTAAAAAATAAAGAAATTTTTTTGAAATTTGTGTATAATTATTTTATAGAAAAATGTGTGGTTAAATATAAGTTTTGAAAAAATGCATTCTTGAAAAAATTGGAATCAAACAAGGGCTTAATATGCAATTTATATGTTTGAGGAATTGTTTCGGTTGAAAATTAGATTTTAACTTTTTTATTTTTATCACAAATTTTAGAAAAATCTCAACATAAAAGACATTATATAATTGTCAAATTTAATATATTATTCTAATTATATTAGATTAAAAATGAAAATGATTTTGTTGAGGAAGAGCATTGATTCAAAAGTAGAAAGTCCAAATATTCTACCTATTATTGTTGATTCATATTTTATCTTGAAAGTCAAAACCCCAAATACTGATAAAAGGAAATTTCATTTTAAGTGCTCTTCCCTTAGTTATTAAGGATAAAAGTGAAAATCATTAGTAAAAAAGACATTCCCAAGCAGGACATTAAGGCAAGAATTAATACTAAATAATTTAACAATTTGATAGCGCGATACGAAATTTGACTTCTCAAGTAATTTTTAAATGATTTATAAAAACTGTCAAAATTAAATATTAATTTTAATATATATTCATGATTATTACTCATAAATCTACTATTATTTTTTCATATTACCATATTTATAAGAGACTGTTTAGGAGTGATTTTGAGAATTGATTTTTTGACCGTTAGAAGAAAGTGGGGTCCACTCGTGAGAGAAGAAGTCAAATATGAAGGTTGAAATAGTAAAATAACGGTAAAAAAATCAATTTTTTTGATAAAAAAAATCGGGGCCAAACAGGCTCTAAATATGTCGAATGAAAGCTAAATTAAGCCCCTGTTTGATTAACATTAAATTAAATTACATTACATTACATTTCTCTCTCTCCTATTTTCAACCATACAATCTTCTATAAAATAATATTACACGTAAATCGAAAACTTTAACTTCTTTTTCAACCACTCATTTTTCTAAAAAATACTATTCCCCCCATTACCATTTTCAGGTAATGGGGGGCCAAACAGGGTGTAAATAATCCGATATTTTGGAGCTAATGATGCCAATTGGATTTGCTTCATGCATGATGCCATCTTTTTTGTATTTTTTAATATGTTGGATTTATAATGGTATTAGTCAGTCAATGGTCTTTGGTCATTATTTTTATGCTAGCCGACTCTTTTCAGTTTTGTTGGTCAACTTTGAAGACGAATTGGATTATTGGAAGCTAAAGTTATTGAAATTGAGATTTTATTTTTTTATTTTTATTTGAAGTGCAGACCGTATTTCCTTCTGTAGTTCTCATCTTCTAATTTACTAATAATGTTACTTTTTTATGTCAACGAAGATAGTAATATTTATAGTAATGGTTGATTTAAAAATAAAATTCGATTCTAGGTTATATTGGAACGCCTCATTAGTTCTAATACTTAAGTCAATTCGTAATTTTGATAATAAAAAAAGTTTTGCAGGCGAATTATCTTTAATTTTACGAGTCCAATATGATTGTAAAATTTTAAACTCAAATCCTCAGTATATATTCATTACTTGTAATTACAGTAATTGTTTTATTAACTTATAATCAATGCCAAATGTCAAAAATATCCATTAATAAATATACATATCATTATTTAATTTAAAACAATACTCGAACCAATATTAACTTTTAGCGAATGGCTTGCAAGAATTAGATGGACAATACACGATGAGGTCGGCATCTTGAACGTGAAGATGAAGTGCCTTCAACTTATATAATATTATCATAGCATGTGAATAGATGATAGACCTAATTGTTTGTTTAAATTTGTTTACGAACTACAAAGAAAATAAAAAATAAAGTTATGCTTTTCACGGTTTTGGTCCAAAATGAGTGGTCCATACCATACTCCGCTATCACGAACCGAGGAACCCATTCCTTCTTTCCAGAAATTTTTGGGATAAACGGCATTCAGTCATTCCTCTTATTAACCCCTCTTTGGTATAATTCAAATTTTGATATAAGTTAAAATCGACAATCAGTTTTTAACCACACATTTAATGGGTGTCACAACCTTTTGACCACACATTTCATCAATTGTTATCAAAATATACTTAAAAAATCTGATTTTAATTCCTACTAAACGGGGTCTAAGTTAATTAGGTAATTTTTTCTTTATCAGACTGAATTTCTGGTCGTACAATTTACTTGAAAAGGAAGTGAAAGTCTTGAGAGAATGGAATTACTTTCATTTATTTATTTTAAGAAGATTTGAACAAATGAATTTCATTGAGGAAATTCCACAAAAGGGATTACATTAAAAAATTTGTAGGTTTCAAAGTTTGTTGGACGTCTTTTGAGTTACACAGTGTCATGGTGATGCACAATATAAATGATAGGGCTGATGAAGCCGAACCCTGAAATTCCAAATTGAAAACAAACGTGTCATTAGGTGTTTTCGTCGCTCATCCAGTACATAAATCAGTAAAGAAGAAGAAAATTGGATGGTAAATTGTAGTTGAAAAATAAATTGACATCGTGCATATAGTTGTTAGGGATGCTTTTCTTTTTAAGATTAGCAATTGATTTCACTCCTCCCTCCAAAAGGAGGCTCGAATCATCATTCAAACTGGATTGTATATAATACGACTATTCCAAAGCTGTTGATGCATATTAGGAATGTGCCCTTAGGTTGTAGAGTCCTAGTAAGAATTATCACTCAAGTGACCCAAGCGTATCCGAGAGAATGGCGTGCTCACTTCTCGAGGCATATACTCAATCCCCAAGCGTTAATTTGTCAATGTGCCTTGGGCACTACTCCGTGCAAGGTCGAGCTAGCCATAAGATCGAGCTCGAGTCTTAGTCGGCTAATTAGTTTGTCCACC